TACACTGAAAAAATGGCAATGGGGGGATTGTTGAATTTGCAAAAATGCCTTTCGTATTTCCTACATGATTCATTTATGTTTCTCATCTAAACATATTTTAGTCTTGTGCCATTCATTTAATGTTAAAGGATGTTCAATCTTTTAGAATTAATCATGTTGAAATGTTAGAAATTAGTCATGTTTTCTCTGGAAACTCCGCCCCCTGTGAACGGGCAAAGGAAAACCAATTAACTGCTGGACAGTCCGCCATTTTACATTGTTAAAAGGAAATGTTATGTAAAGTCATGGGGTAGCTGTAATGCTTTTGTTTGTTTGCTTGTTGTTACTGTTCATGCATAAACCCAAGTAATAATTTCTAAAAATCTAACAATATGGATTATAAATACAATATTTCTGTTACTTAGTGGAGAAGAGAGAGAAGTATCTTTAACTGAACACTTACATGTTCTGTTAAACTAAAAAAAAAAAAGACATGATTGATAGGAACTTTGAAAGTTAAAATTTATAGACATTTTAAGAAATAATTATTTACCTGTTGGCAGTGTGTTGACAGCCTGTGTAATTAGCCTTTTTCACACTTCTGGGTTTTTGGCTTCCGGAATAGCCCACGGTGGGTAAAAGTTTTTCCGGTAACAGTGATAGATAGCCGAGCCTAAGATTAAATTGGTTATATTCTCCGTGTGCTATTATCACACTCCATGTGCTGTAAAGACAGTGCCTGGCCTGCGTCTCAATACATACTATGTATACATACTAGGGATGCTCCGATCGATCGGCCGGAGATCGATATCGGCCGATAATCACATTTTATGACTCGATCGGTACTCACTAACTTGGCCGATCGATCAGAGCATCCCTAGCATCATCTTAAAGTCTGTAAGTCTGTAATATGCACAGTATTACAAACCCATAGTAGTATTGTTGCTGTTGCAACATTAATGCAAAGACTGATAGTTGTGTACAGTGTGGTCTTGGAAAGTAATTATGTCTTAGTTTAATGATTTTAATCGGTCAGGATTAGTTATAACATATGCTTGAATGCAGGTTGTAATGTCATGAGATAAATACATGCTATATATTTTTTAAACGTATTAAACTCACGACAATATTATGCATCTCTCACGACTTTATATACCGCATTGAAGCATATATTGGGAGTTTAGTTTTTTAATGAATAAATTATATAAATGTTTGTCGTATGGTGATACGAGCAGGGGATTTGTTGAATGAGTAGCTGTGTAGCCTATACGATCGTTTGAACTCACAATGATTTCATATACTACTCACACCGTGAGGATCACAGTATAGTTTGAGTTCACAATGAGCTCACCTATTACTCACAATAAAAATCATGTTGAGTAAATCTAATTTTAATATGTGCAACCTATGTACATATTTTTTTTATGTTAATCCAACAGGGTTTTTTCTCAGTGTATGGTCTTTGTAGAAAAACAAGCAAGAGGCTAGTTTTTTGTTTGTTTGTTACGCAATTCAATCCATTACACATCCGACGTTCTTGGTTATCTTCCTATATTAAATTAAATATATTAGACAGTTGGTTGATGAAACATTGATGACAATTAAAAAAAAGATACAATTTATACAAAACGAAATTCACTTTAAAGAAAGGCAACCTTTGGGTTATGAGTCCGACTCGCTAACCATTAGGCCACGACTTCCCCTATGAAGTACAATGTAGTACAATCAAAAGCTTTAATTATAATCACATTGCACTTGAATAAAGTTAAAGGTGTAATCTGCCAATTGTCCTGCAGGTGACCTCATAATTCTGTTTTTTTTTAGATGCAGATTAGCAGCGGGCCAGATTAGTGCAAAACAGTGAAGACTGGCTGCTGTACAATGTTGCTGTAATTGATCTAAACTCAAATAATGTGAAGGTGTCTGTCAGTTAGTGACAAAATATACTTACAAAGCCAAAGACGATGTGAAATATGGCTCTGAAAAGAGCCTTTGGGGTGGTGTTCAGCAGCTGTTGAGACACAAGCAGAAGGGAGAAAAATTTAAATAAAAAACCATGGTAGAATGTGTGAGAGATTGCACAAATAAAAAATGTATTCAGTTTTTTTTTATTGATCATTATTAACTAACTTAAACACGGCAAATCAGAGATGCAGGATGCTAGACTGTGTTGTAAAGTAGCTATTCCTTTAATGTTTTTCTTAAGACAGTGAAGGCTGGATGCTGCACAAACTCAAATAATATGGTACTGTGTCAGTCAGTTAGTCACAAAATATACTTACAAAGCCAAAGACGATGGGTATGTGATTCTGAAAAGAGCCCTTGGGGTGGTATTCAGCAGCTGATTAAAAAAAAACAAAAAAAACATGATTTTGAAATATTGCAAATGTCTTTATGAATTAAAAATGCTATTCAGTTTTTATTGATCATTAAGAGGTGCTAGACTGATCACTTACAAAAACCAGACGGCAGACAACACTGAAAAAAGAAGAGTTATTTTCATGGTATAAATTAAAAAGGCTCTGATTAATGAATATGTAGCCTATAACATCTGAAAAAGCACCGATGAGATAAGAATGCACAGAGAATAGATTTTATTACATTAAACCCCTATCAACTATTAAGTAACAGAAACATGTGACTGTATTATTCAAAGTTGAGATTATTATTATTATTATTATTATTATTATTCTTTTAAAATGACTAGTCTTTCGGCCTCTCTCAACGTGCAAGTCAACGGAAAAGGGCACCTCGCGCGCTCAAAGCCAAGCCAGCGAGACTGGTGCCCTTCTCCGTTGACTGGCTGCTATAATAATATAAATAATAGTGATAATAATATTTAAAATTGTGTCTTTATTTATTTTATAGTAATGTTAACATGACAGACATAATCCTGAAACGAATGAGCTTCTCTGCTCATTCCGTTAGCGTAAATGACGTCACACAGTCAGCCTAACGGCATTTAACGGCATTTTATGGTTAACGAACGATACAGACTAGAGGAAAAGGAACAAAAAGGGCGGAAAACCATTCTGTGTGAGAATTAAAAATGTAAAATTTACTGGTAAAGATAGTCCGTCAATTTTAGGACAGTTTATTAAACTCTCTAATTAAGTTTCATTCGTGCGTTGATGTTACCCTGAGAGGAAAAAACGCGTTTTTCACATCAGACTGTTCTTATAATTTGATTTTATAATTGTATAATTGTCCTGTTTTAATATTTTACGTGACATTGTGGTTATATGTTTAAACATTTGTTTAAATAAGATGTTTGAGTAAAAAGATATTTACCTCAGTGCTGCAGGTGTCAGAATGTAGCCGGGCTATGCGCGCGGTGGACACGGGCCCTAATATATGCCCGCTACCAGGTTTCGCGGGTTTAGCACGCGAGTAAAAAATTTATTGAAAATGTAATGTAGCTACATTTATATAATGATACCTTGCTTTATATTACAAAAAAGAAAAAAAAAGAAAATCCAGTCTCTATCCCCAATACTGTTATATATATATATAATTATGCAAATGGACCCAATGTGCGTTTATAGATGTTATGTTTGCTCATAAAATAAATTATTTATTTATTAAATGTATGAGATTAGAAATGTCTTACCTGTCTCCCCATGTTCTTTTCTAGTGGGTTGTGAAGAAAAAGATGAGCCAAGTACTCCAATGGCAACAATTTCTTTCTTTCCCCAAAAAAGTGTTCAATCTTGTGGTTTGAGCTTTGTGGCCTTTACACATTTCATTTTTTAAATGAGAATTTGAAATCCACTTCAAGTCGCTGACCTTATGAGTTTTCAAGATCTCAAGTTTTCAAATTACTCAAATGGGAATGGATTGCAAGCATCAAGATTGCAAAAATCCCTTGCCTCTTGTAGATGCAGCATATAGGATGGATGTTCTGCATCATGAAGTGAACGCCATAAAGTTTATGTTAAAACCCTAATCTGTTATTTGGGGTCACGCTGACCCCATTTGAAATTTCCTTAGTTAAAAAACATGGCTCCCTTCATCTCAGTGACCTAGGATTTTGTGACTTTTTCTACAGAATCTTTTTCTTCACACACACAAAAAAAAACAACTGCTCACTCACACACATACACAAAACATGTGTGTCTGCAACAAAGCATTTGTATAGAATATGGCAAATAAAATAAGCCACAAAAGCAGATATGAAAAGGCTAGATCTAATACATGCACACACGTATACACACATGCACACACACATACAGATGTGACTGCAACAGAGAATTTAGGATTTTTAAAGAATTTTTTTGTCAAATAAAATCAGTTATATTTATTTTATTTAAAAAAATATTTACATTTGTTTACAGAATATTGATTTTAATGTATTTCATGTTTATATGTACATAAATTCACAAAATATATTACAAATGTTGGAGCAGTTGGCCACAGACAGAAAAATGAATGTATGTCTATGGCTCGCCTGGATATATGTGGTCATATTACATTCTTTATAAAACTATTCCTGTAGAATTTTCTCTAACCAGCAAATGGCAGTTTTCTGTCCCTAACACCTAGATCAATATTCAGGAACAATTTATATTTAATTAAGATTAAAATTAAAGTGATTTTTTTTTTAAATGCAATTTTTCATATACAAGCTAAAGGTGTAGTTGAGTATTTTTGCATTAAATGGGTAAATAAGTACATATCCCACAAAACACAGCAAAATCATATAAGTCGTATAGAAGTAAACAAAACAAAAAAAGATATATAATTTGTATCATTACATTTTTTTATTTTTTTTATATAGAATCATACTCTTTGTCTTTGTCTTTGACCCCAAAGACCATGAACATAAACAGGAAATGAAGAGAGTATGAAGGTTAAGTTTGTTTTGTTGGATTTGCCCAGCAGACTTTCACACCATTCTCTTATAACGTTCAAATAGTTGGTCGGGAATTCCCTTCAACACAGTCCGCTAGTGTTTAAAAATCAAACCCAGCACAGGTCAGTAGCCTTTAACCTGTCAGTGTCACATTATAAATGTACAGCTTGCAACCAGAAAATTGCAACCATAGTGATAATGTTTTTGTTGTTTTATTTTCAAACACCAAGGCAAGCCTGATGCATGTAGTCAATTTGGAATTGCTTATGTGCACTTGAGTCCTCAAGAATGTTTCATGTTATCCACCACTATAGTCCATGTCCTTCTGAGTTCAGTGAGTTATGATCTCACTTATCATACATAACCTTAGGAAATAAACGATTTACACATTTAAAAAATATTTCACGAATGAAAATTTTTTATTTTAACTTTTTGTTAATGACTTGTTTATTGACCTCTGATCCATTACTTTCAAAGCCAGGTTATATAGTGACACTATTGGTGTAGTAACAGATAGGAGGAGCTTGACTTCAAATGTTCACACTACACAATTACATGCATATACAACTTGGCTGCTTCAAAAGGTATAAGGTCTAATCATATGAAACCAATTATAATTTATTCTAGTTGTAAACTATTTTTTAAACGTATTGGCTATTTTATTACTGTATTACTTGATTTTTGTTGCATGAATAATACTGCAAATTAGTACTGTCTGGATGAGAAGTCATTATTGTGTACCATCAAGTGCTATATTTGAGTTGCACATCTGAGTGTGTTTGAGTGTATTTACTTGATACTGCTGGGGGAAAAACAACAACAACAACAACATGTAAAACAACATCTGTCTAGTACATGTAGTTTGTTGCTCTTCAATATGTTCAATATATTTTGTGTTTTCTTATTTACAAATGTGTATTTGTTTTCTCCATTTAAAATATCCTATTATTACTTTTGCAGGTGTTCAACTGTTTATCATTTTATATTATGACTGGTCTGAAAGGACCAAGTTTCAGTGTTACAGGAAAGACACAACAGAAGATTATTTGCTCTATATGCGTCCAGATGCATAAAGCAACTTCCTGCAATTAGTAACTCTTATATCTCGGTTACCTATGTAATCTTGGTTCCGTGAATAGGGAACTAGATGCTGCGATGACGTCATCGCTATGGGAACACCTCCGGTGTGACGAATGTCTGAAGCCCTTATACCATCAGGCCAATTTATTGGCCAATAGCGCTTAGCACCGCCCCAAGCATACGTCACGTATGCTCATATATTTCATCAGATTTCACACTATGATGAAGGAAGTGCTATCGAAGGTACGGAACGGCCAGCATCGCAGCATC